CTCTCTCTTTTCTCTCTCTCCCTCCTCTCTTTCTCCTTCTGTCTCTCCTCTCTCTTCTCTCCCTCTCTCTTTCTCTCTCCCCCCCTCTCACTCCTCTCTTCTCTCTCTCTCTCTCTCTCTCTCTCTCTCTCTCTCTCTCTCTGTAGTAATAGATTCCATTCTTTGGGCCATAAAGGTGGTAGGCACATGAATCAAGTTGGATTGATACCTTAGCCAAGCTCACTATGCTCAGTTCTGTGATTTAGCATCTTCTTCATATCCTTTCCCCCCTCTATATTCTGGAATCCAACACTTCCAGTTCCTCTAGGTTTTATCTGGAATTTTGTGTGTTTAAAATCTGATATACATGATTACAAGATTTCATGTTATTTTCTGACTCTGAGCCATGTTCATAATGAAAAATTCAGGAATGTTTTCTGAGAGGTATCTGGGTCACCAGATGGAGATGTAAACCTTTCCCAGAAATCCCCTATCTGACTTCCCCTAATACTTCAGTAGCCCAAACTAAGAGAAATCACTTGCAAAGGAGAAGAGCATGGCTCCTTCCCCAGTGCTGGCCTACATTATCTGAGACCAAGATATTTCTTAGCCAGGTGTGGTGGTGTATGCCTGCAATCCCAGCTACTCAGGAGGCTGAGACAGGAGGATTGCAAGTTTGAGGCCAGCTTCAGCAATTTAGTGAGTCTCTCAGCACTTAGCGAGACCCTGTCTCAAAATTGAAAGAAGGACTGAAGATGTTGATCAGTGGTAAAGCACTCCTTCACTCAATCCCCAGTACCAAAGGAAAAAGGGAAAGGTGGAGCGGGGCGGGAGATAGATAGATAGATAGACAGATAGATAGAGAGATAGATAGATAGATAGATATTGATTTCTGCTAGACACTTTATCAGTAAGAGGGTTTCTGTTATTAAGAAGATATGATTGGGTTATTTTTTTTGGTGTTTGTCTTGTTGAGCTCTTTATATGTCCTAGAGATTAGAGCTCTAWCTGATGTGTGAGGGGTAAAAATTTGCTCCCAGAATGTAGGCTCTCTGTTCACCTCACAGATTGTTTTATTTGCTGAGAAAAAACTTTCTAGTTTGAATCCATCCCATTTATTGATTCTTGGTTTTAATTCTTRTGCTATAGAAGTCTTATGAAGGAAGTTGGGGCCTAATCCCACATGAAGAAGATTAGGGCCTACATTTTCTTATATCAGATGCAGAGTCTCTGGTTTAATTCCTAGATCCTTGATCCACTTTGAGTTGAGTTTTGTGCATGGTGAGAGATAGGGATTTAATTTCATTTTGTTGCATATGGGTTTCCAGTTTTCCCAGCACCATTTGTTGAAAAGGCTATCTTTTCTCCAGTGCACTTTTTGGCACCTTTGTCTAATATAAGATAATTGTAATTTTGTGAGTTAGTCTCTATGTCCTCTATTCGATACCATTGGTCTACTGGCCTGTTTTGGTGCCAATACCATGCTGTTTTTGTTACTATTGCTCTGTAGTATAGTTTAAGGTCTGGTATAGTGATACCACCTGCTTCACTCTTCCTGCTTAGAATTGCTTTAGCTATTCTGGGTCTCTTATTTTTACGTGAAACACTGTGCTCTATATGTGTAATAAGAATTGTAATGCATTCCACTGTTGTTGTGTATTTAAAAAATAATAATAAAATAAAAATACATAAAATAAAATAACTTATTTCATAAGTTTTCACACATTTCCAGAGTGGATTAATGTACCAAGATAATATGTTAACTAAATGATCTTAAATTTAAATTTTGCAATAAAGAGAACTTCAAAATAAAAAAATAATAAAAAAGAAGATATGATAATGCTTTCTCAAATTGCCTATAAGCAAACTGTGAGTTCCAGGAGGGTACAGGCTTCTTGTGAGTTACTCCATCTCATTTTGACTTCCTTCAACTTGGAGGCCTTCTCCTCTATCCTTTAATTTCCTTCCTCAGTCATCCTGTTGCATAACATTGAACCAATTTATAGCTTATCGCTCACTTCCTAGAGGGGACAAATGTCTGACACACTTCAGCTCTGGTTAAAGGAATGCATGTGGCAAATAGGATAAATAAATAGTTTGAAGTCACTTTTTGCATTACCTGCCTACATTCTTGCAAGCAGGAATAGATGTGAAATATTTAATATGCATGA